CATCTTGTGAGGGTGTGATGGTCAATTTGCATATCACCCCTTTATTATATAGGATACAATGCTAGTAATAATTCATGAGTGTCTGAAGAATTATTTAATATTTCTCTAATTGATTTTCAGAATACATAGATAATTTTAAAAGGAATTCACACTGTATACCTAAATTTTTTGTTACTAATATAAATCTTTGCACTTAAGTAAGAGATAGATAGGCTAGTATGAAGCCAAATTAGAACTTACAGGGAAGTATATTTTTATATCGGTTCTTCCTTCTGTTTTCCTTAGTTTGTCCAATTAGACACTGATCCAAAGGTTTTAATTCTTGAAGATTCTGAGGGCAAAAAGGAAATAAGGTTAAATTTGTTGAGATTAGCAAGTGTTTAGGGTGCAAAACTGGCTATTGATCAGGGAAGACTTTGAGTGTTAAAAAATAGATATGTCTTGCTCGACCGGAGTGGCTCAGTGGTTGAGCGTTGACCTATGAACCAGGAGGTCATGGTTCAATTCCTGGTCAGGGCATATACCCAGGTTGCGGGCTTGATCCTCAGTGTGGGGCATGCAGGAGGCAGCTGATCAATGATTCTCTCTCATCATTGATGTTTCTATCTCTTTCTCCCTCTCCCTTCCTCTCTGAAATCAATAAAAATATATTTTAAAAAAGAAAAGAAATAGCTATGTCTTGTCAAGATAAATAAGCCTAAATTACCAATACTAATTTGATGCACCAATTGTTAAAATACATTGTTGGAAATATCTTTTACATGTTGTAGTCAACTAACTTTGTGAGGTACCACTTTATACCTTATTTTAAATTCAGTTTAAGGATGTCTATAATTATAATTTAGAAAAAAATACAACTTATAAAACCAACTTTGGCTTAAAGCTGGAGCAGAATTTCTTGGCAATATTGTCTGTGGGGTCATAGAATATTCCATATATTAGAGCTGTAGTTAGACAGTATTATGTTCTAAAGTCAACTTTTTTTCACTTTTTATTCCATCCATCCATTCATCCATCCACACATTCACCAAATATATGCTGAAAATGCCCACTCTATATGTAAGGCACTGTAATAAGTATTGGGAATACAGTTGTGAGAGAAAAAATATGATTTTGGCTCTCCTGGAGCTTATACCCTATTGGGAAAAGAAGGCAGTAAAGAAGTAAATAAGCAAATATTGTGATCTATGCTATGAAGAAATTAATAAGCTGCTGTGATAGAGAAAAATAAAGGACTTTATAAAATAGGGTTGTGATAGCAGATCTCTAACATTTATTTATTCTTTTAAATTGATCTTAGAGAGAGAAAGGAAGGGAGAGAGGGAGAGAGAGGGGGAGAGAGAGACATTGATCGGTTGCCTCCCCCACGTGTCTTGACCAGGATTGAAACCATCGCCTTTTGGTATATGGGAAGACACTCCAACCAATTGAGCCACACCAGCTAGGGCAAGGTCTCTAACATTTAAACTTAAGACCATAAAAAAGAAATATTTTCTGGAAAAATGGAGGGGAACAGTATATTCTTGGAGCTGTTAAATTAGAAACTGTTGCTAATGGTGAAACACATTTATAGTGTATTAATTATGAAGTCTAGTGGATGGTTGGACTTAAAAAAAAACACACCACCACAAAAAATACTTTATCTCTACAGATGAGGCAGGGAGAATAATATTCAGGGAGACTTATCAAGCTCCAAAGTGACTAAAGAGATCCCTTTAAATCAATACTATGTTTTAGGATCCTAATTTAAAAATATAATTTACTACTAGATATGATGAGATGGTAGTGCTTTTTGAGATGGTGGCGCTTTTTAAAAAAATTTAATTTAATTTTTTTATTTATTGTCTAAAGATTTACATATGTCTCCTTTTTCCCTGATTGACCCCCCCTCCCCAATCCATTCCCATCCCGGGCAAGCCCCCACCCCCTCAGTGGATGGTGGTGCTTTTATAGTTGGAAGTTAAGTTGTAAAATAACAGACATTTTCAGAATTTTCAAAATTTCTTCTAACCTTGAATACAATTTTATTTGAGAAAGAAAAACCATTTGCAGAAGCTACTTACCTCCAGCTCCTTAGAAGGAATTCCTTGATCTAGTAAACCCCGCAGCATTCGAATGACTGATTTCAACTTGGTACCAGTGTATTTACCAGAGGGAAGCACTTTGACGATGGGAAGTGCAGTGAGCTCCTCATTTGTCAGAAAAGGATGATCTAACAAGAGTTCAGCAGTTAATTAAAAAAAAATCCCCCCCCACAACGGACTTAGCCAATAAGGGAACTAAATTTAGTATATTTTCACCTCATGTATTTTTACATGAGTGAGAGAATCTTTAGAATTAATAAGGCACTAGAATTAATTGGTAGGCAGATAAGTACAATCAACACAGGAAAATCTTGGCCACAGCAAGGCCCTTGTACTCAACTTTCAAGGAAACACCTCACTGACTATTCAGAAATTCTTAAGGCTCTTGACTCAAATGGCACTGTTTTCTTGATGAAAATGTATTTAGTTCTACTATTATTTTGCATTTAAATGAGTTTCCTAGCACATGGGGAAAAGAGGAAGGGAGGTTCAGAAATTCCTTAAAATGCGGCAATGCACTAGTTAACACTGATCCCCCCATCTACTCACTCTGGGTACTTAGTGTCAGTGTCTCTGGTATTTGATAGTTTTCTCCATGCAAATGAAGCCTTGGGGCCTTCAGGAATTTATCTAAAAAGTGCTATCAGTGCCTTTGAATAGGCATGTTTCTAATTTAGCACCTGGTCTATGGAAAGTGCTTATAACAGAAGGTGGTTATTCTGAAAAAAGTTGCAGAGATATCTTGCAATAGACTGCACAAGTGTAGCTTTAATTATGTCAATCAGTTGATTAAAGTATTCTGATGATGCAGCTAACACACAGGCAATAGTAATTCTAGGCACCATGGGGCACACAAAGCTGTACAAGATACCTCAAGAAGCTTAACATCTGGCAGGGGTGAAGGCTAATTTTGAGTACAAAATTCACTCATATGAAATAACCGTGAACCTTCACAGAGCTGAGTGTGAGTGCAACAGGAGCTTAAAGGTTAAAGAGCGCAGGAGTTGATGAGCTCTGTCACTGACAACAGTCTACCTAGATCCAAAAGTACTCATTCACTTCTTTAATTTCTTTTAACTAAAACTTCAAATTACAAAACCGTGGTATTTCATTGCATCAGTATAACATTTCCTTATATGAATGAAAAAGAGAAATGCAACTCTGGATAAGAACCTCATTTCTCCACTGACTCAGTTATAAACGAGAGAAGCAGTCAGTGATAGGAAGGACAGACCAACGGACTCTAAGAGCTGGCTCTTAAAAAACGAGGTTGAGATTCAGGCGTAATACATTCCTACCTTTGAGCCATCCTACCTATTTTACTGTAAATAAAATGTGCTCCTTCTCATTTCAGAATGGCAAAATTGTGACTTTGTGTTTCCATTTATAGTTACACATTTATTTGTTTGTTTTACTCCAAGCCACTGAGAATTTTCACCTACAACCGTGTAAACTTCTGGTTACATAAATGAGTGTGATGTTTGCTATGTGATTTAACTTTATGTATAGAACCAAGTAATGTTCACATGTGGTGAAATAACATATCCATATATTCTGAAAATATAATTTTCAAACACTTATTTTTTCTATCCACTGAGTTTGATGAAAAAATTGCTAATAAAATTCTTGCCTTTATTGGAATCTTCGTGGTTTATTGTTTCTATTGGCAATTCATCACTCCCCCATGTTATTTCATCATCATCGGTCCTCTTTTCTTGTGAATTTTGAATTAATCTATGAAAATAAACAAATTTACAATATTTTCTTCAATTCTGTCCATAATATATATATAAATATTATGTCCTAGAACCACTCATTTCCTCTATAATTATGATGGTAGTTAAAAATAAATTATCTGATTAAAAAACCCAAATCCACAATTCTTAAAATTTCCCCTCAAACAAATCCCAAGTCTCTGAACCTCAGACTGAAGAAGCCCTTGTAGGGATAGAGAAGGTGGTGGTTTGTTCTGCCTGGATGACGAACACACCTGTGTCAGTACAGCTCTCTCATTTTTTAACAGCTGCACCATGGACTGTATGGATGCACCTTCCTAACTTTCGAAGTCCCTACTGATGAACATTATTCTTTTGCTTCAGCCAGGAGCTGGCAGGACACTCTTGTCTCTGGGCACTTGCTCAAAGCTATAAAGCTCAGTACAGTTCTCATTATTCTAGGGGTGCACAGTAGACGCCCTCTCCCTGGTAAGGTAAATGGCTAGAAAGACAAATTAGGTAGGAGAATAATGCTTAGTACTAAGATGAGATGAAAAAGGATAATGTAAAAACCTGAACAAAGTACATTTGTCTAGTGCACCCCAAAATGTCAATGACTGGAAAGTATGCTGTTTAGGGTGAATGCTTTCCTCTGCTCCAATCAATGGGGGTCACATTAACATTAAATTTGCAAGTGCTGTGTTCATGAGGTTGCTTTCATCTTCTAGAAGTACATTTTGTCTTCAAGGATGTATTTTAGAGATCCGTCCATTAGGCATTCTATTCTCTTCTTTCTGATTCTTTTGAACAGCTCCTTAGAATTTCATTGTGGAGTATGTGCCAATTTATTCGGTGTCTATTATGGTTTTATTTTACTACTATAAACAATATTGCAAAGAATATTGTTATAGAAATGTCTTTCCACACAAATTGGTAGTGGGACCAATTCCTAGAAATAAAATTGCTAGGTCGAAGAGTATGTGCCAGTTCTTTGAATTTATGACATTGATCATTTGTATGCATTAAGAAAGAAATAATATTGTGTATTTTAACTGTCGGACCTATTACAATTTCAGAGATGTTAAAATAAAAGTGTATCTAAGAATTAATAACATGCAAATAAAACTTTTATGTTAATAGTGTTTCCAATTACTACCTAAAGTACATTAATTGACCCCTACTCCTTCCTCCCCTTGCCCTGACCATGGGGTGGAGCTGGTATCTACAGTTATTGGCAGCTGCCCCAGATATTTGCTAATCTTGTAAGTATAAAATTGTAAGCATTTCTACATTAATACACACCCCCTTGTCTAACTTTACATAATGAAATATTCACTATCAATTTGCTTTTCTAGGAAAATGCAAATATGTAGCTCCCTGTGGCTGTTTGGTTATCGCCTGGTATGAAGCAAAATTTATGTACAACCACTATGTTGGCTAACAATATGTACAACTTTTCTTGATCTATCATTTAATGTTACAAAAAAATCTTATTTTATATTAGAAATTGTTTTCAAAAAGAAAAAAAATTAGTGGAATTTAAAAATGTTCCTTCTTTGGTTTTATTTTCTTATTAAAGTAAATAATTTATAAAGTATAGAAAAACAGAAACAGAAAGTGAAGTTACCTATAATCACACCAGAAGATAATCAAATGTTGGCACATTCCTTTTAGACCCTTTTCCAAGTATGCTCAAGAGAATACTGCTCTTTTGGAGCAATGTTATAACAAACACATCACATGTCACTAGAACCTTTTGTTAAAACTATTTTTAAAAAATTATTTATTTTTTAATTTTCACCCAAGGATGTTTTTATTGTTGCTTTTTTTAGACAGACAGGAATGGACAGAGAAAAACACTGATTTGTTGCCTTCCATATGTGCCCCAACTGGGGATCGAACCCGCAACCTAGTTACGTGCCCTGACTTGGAATCAAACCTGCAACCTTTTGGTGTACGGGACGATACTCCAACCAACTGAGCCACCTGGTCAGGGCTTATAACAATATTTTTAAAACATTCTTAATATTCAGCCATAGTTCCATAATTTACATAACAATTCTCATTTTTCTGGAAGAGAAAATTTTAATTTTAAATAAATAAAAGGAAATCTTCAGAGCACTTCTAAATTAAGTATGGAATTGTTATAAATACTTAAAATTACTTTCTTACCTTTCACTTTTTTCTTTTTCTTCACAATATTCTTCACAGCCATTCATTTTGGTAGACTACAATAAAGAAAAATCACATTAGCCCAATGTAAAAAAAAAAAAATTAAACACTCTCATAATGTTCACATTTTTCCTGTGAATTATTTCCTATATGTACTGTTATTGCTCATCTTCACATTACAAAGTCACTTATAAAAACATAATTTATGGAGTGACATCAGAGGAATGGTGGTGTGAGTGTGAGTGTATCTCTTCTTCTCCCCCTGAAATTTCAACAAGTTAACCAACTATAATTCAATAAAGAAATCCCTGCTCAACACAGACGCATGCCTGAGAGACCTGCGCACTAAAACATCTAAAGGTGGGCAACCAAGAAAAAAATGGAGAAACGAGAAGGGAGGAAAGTGCAGATGGCCCACAGCTGTAACCCTGCAACTAGGAGCTTGAGCTTGCAGCTTGGCCGGTCAGGAGAGGGGAGAAAGCTGGCGGCAGCAGATGCTTCCTTCAGCTGGGAGAAACAGAGAGCTGTGGGGTGGGTGGGCAGCCCAGCAAAGAGAGTGGCAAGGGAGTAAGCAAAGGAGGACAGCAAATACCATGGAGAACCATAGCAAGAGGATGACAAAAAAGAAAATGAAAAAACTCCAGAAAGCAAGCTGGAACACATGGAAATATGTGATATAAATGACAGAGATTTCAAGATTGCAGTTCTGAAAACACAACGAGATGCAAAATAATACCAACAGGCAACTCAGTGCACATCAGAATTTCATCTGAATTCTCATCAGAAACTTTACAAGCCAGAAGAGAGTGGAACCAAATATTCAAACGTCTGCAAGATAAATTACTAGCCAAGAATAATATATCCAGCAAAATTATCCTTTAAATATGAAGGAGAAATAAAGATGTTCCCAGACATACAGAAGCTGAGGGACTTTATCACCAGAAAACCTCCATTGCAGAAAATACTCAAGGGAGTTATTCTACCTGAAACAAAGAACATAAGGTCACAGCAATACAAGTAAGATCACCGAAAAACTTATAGCATTAAAAGGGATAATTTGTGACAACAAAAACATAAAAGGGGCGGGTGGGGTGTGGGGGTGGACGTATGAACTGGCAAAGGAAGATGAAGATCAGATGCACTCAAAAGGAAAAAACTATGGTATATATGGAACTTCTTCTTTTTTTTAACCTAATGGTAACCACATCAGGACATATAGCTGCAAAAAACAAGAATCAGAGGAAAGATGTATGGCATACCACTAAACAATAACAACAGACAGAAACATAAAGGAAAAGAACCAATGGAGGCACAGAGCTACCAGAAAACAAAAGATAGCATAGCTATGGAAATCCTCATACATCAATAATTACCCTAAATGGTCTGAATTCACCAATAAGGAGGCACAGAGTAGCGAGTGGATCAAAAAACAAAACCCAACCATATGCTGACTACAAGAGATACATCTAAGCTGCACAGACAAAGGTAGATTCAAAGTAAAAGGGTGGAAAATGTTCATCCAAGCAAATAACATCCAGAGAAAATAATGATAATAAGAGACAAAGATGGACACTTTATAACAGGGGTCCTCAAACTATGGCCCGCGGGCCACATGCAAATACAAATATTGTATTTGTTCCCATTTTGTTTTTTTTTTACTTCAAAATAAGATATGTGCAGTGTGCATAGGAATTTGTTCATAGTTTTTTTTAAACTATAGTCTGGCCCTCCAACGGTCTGAGGGACAGTGAACTGGCACCCTGTTTAAAAAGTTTGAGGACCCCTGCTTTATAATGACAAAGGGAACACTACATCAAGAAAATATAACACTTCTACAAGTTCAAGAAGATTGAAATCATATCAAGCATCTTCTCAGATCACAATGGAATATTTACAATAGCTAAGGTCTGCAAACGGCCTATCAGTAGATGAGTGGATAAAAATAGCTGTGGTACATTTACATGGAATACTATGCAGCAGTAAAAAAGAAGGATCTCTTACCCATTGAACAGCATGAAGGGACTTGGAGAGTATTATGCTAAGCAAAATAAGCCAGTGCGAGAAAGAGAAGTATCACATGATCGCACTTATATGTGGAATCAAATGAACAAAATAAACTGATGAACAAAATAGATCAGGAGACATAGAACCATGGGACAGACTGTCGAATCTCAGAGAGAAGGCGGGGGTGGGTGGAAAGTCCTAATTTATTATTTTTAAGGATGGACTGACCCAAAGTATCTTGAAATCTCAAGGCACAAATTTGTGGGAAGTCTCTGTACTTTGGTGGTAGGACAATTTATATAATATTTCCAAATAACTGGTAGGAATATTCTACCTCTACAAAAGTTAATTTTAGGTTTGTCCTGGATAGTTTTACATCACAATTCTTCCATGTGAATTTTAGAATAATTTTTAACAAGCCACCCCTGACTCTAACATAAAAAAAAAGACAAATATTTCATGGGACCATATTTAATTTATGGGTGAATCTAGGAAGAACTTAACTTTTGGGTTTTTCTATCAAAGAACAAGGACTATTTTGCTTTAAGACTACTTTTATGCTTTGTGAAGTTTTAAAATTTTCCTAATACAGATCATATAGATCAGGGGTCCTCAAACTACGGCCCACAGGCCACATGCAAATACAAATATTGTATTTGTTCCTGTTTTGTTTTTTTACTTCAAAATAAGATATGTGCAGTGTGCATAGGAATTTGTTCATATTTTTTTTTAAACTATAGTCCGGCCCTCCAACGGTCTGAGGGACAGTGAACTGGCCCCCTGTCTAAAAAGTTTGAGGACCCCTGATATAGATTTTTCATTGAATTTATATCTAGAACTATTGTTTTGAACTATTGTAAATGAAGTTTTCTTTAATTATATTTCATAATTGGTTAAAGCAAAGACTGTGTTATGGACTGAATTGTGTGCCCCCAAAATACACAGGCCAAAGACCTAACCCCCAATGTGACTATGTTTGAAGACTGTGCCTTTTTGAAGGTAATTAAAGCTAAGTGAGGTCATAGGGATGGTTCTCTAATCCAAAGGGGCTGGTTTCTTATAAGAAGAGAAAGAGACACCAGGAGTGCACCAACGCAGAGGAATGGCCATGTGTGAGGTCACAGTGAGACAGTGGCCGTCTACAAACCAAGGAAAGAGGTCTCACAAAAAGCCAACTTGCGGACACCTTGACCTTGTATTTCTAGCCTCCAGAACTGTGAGAAAATAAATTTGTTTTTTTAAAGACACCCAGTTTATGGTATTTTGTTATATAGCCCAAGCAGAAAAGGACAGACTTCAAACTCAAATCTGCAGAAACTAGACAAATAATAAAAACCTTTGAAATGCTGGGGTTGGGAGTGGTAGTGGTAAGCAGGGTTGGAAAATAGGAAATGGTAGAGTCTGTGGAGAAATAGTCATAGCATATTAGTAATCTAAATTTTGAAATTTAATTTTATCTTGTCAATTCTGAGTTTATAGTATAATATAAAGAAATAGGGCCCTAGCCGGTTTGGCTCAGTGGATAGAGCGTTGGCCTGCGGACTGAAGGGTCCTGGGTTAGATTCCGGTCAAGGGCACATACCCACATTGTGGGCTCAATCCCCAGTTGGGGTTGTGCAGGAGGCAGCCAATCAATGATTCTCTCTCATTTTTGATGTTTCTATTTCTCTCTCTTCCTTTCTCTCTGAAATTAATAAAAAATATTTTAAAAAATAGGGCCCTAGCTGGTTTGGCTCAGTGGATAGAGCATCGGCCTGTGGACTGAAGGGTCCCAAGTTTGATTCTGGTCAGGGGCACATGCCCAGGTTGTGGGCACGATCCCTAGTGGGGGGGCGTCCAGGAGGCAGCTGATTGATGATTCTCATCATTGATGTTTCTCTCTCTCTCTCCCTCTCCCTTCCTCTCTGAAATCAATAATATATAT